GTTAACCGGAGAACAGTTAAGTTCTCTACAGTCCTACAATGCAAAAATATTAATGTGTCATACGGTATTGAACATATGTTCAGGCACTTAAAAACTGAACTTCAGTGTTTTCTGGTTTATTTCTAAGGGATTTTTTTTTCTAATTTTCTTAAACCAGGCAAAATTCATTTTAATATGAAGACAGGAAAAAATCTTCATTTCTTAGAATAGAACTGTGTTTAGTTCTTTATCTGTGCTATACCTTAAAAAAACAAAAAAACCCAACAGTTTCTCAAGGGGCTGTGGTCTGTTGGTACCTCCTGGGTAGAGAATAATGCCACATCCTGGCTGAGAAGCAAGCGAGGATGGAGGGAGGACAGTTACCAGCATCAGCAGTTCATTTGCAGTGAGCTCATTTACCGTTACCTCGCAGTAAGAACAGTTGAAGACGTACCTGAAGCTTCCAAGGGATTGGTTTTCATACGAAGTAGACTCTTCAAATTTTAGCTTTTAGAACCAATTATCTGTGTTCGGCGAAGACAGCCAGTAGCTGAGTACCTGGGGCTTTCCCTGGCTGTTTCAAAGTGACACATGGAGTGAAAGTGCTGCCTTTCAGAAAGTGAGATAGTGGTATAGTTAGTCTGCTAATAAAAGCACAGCTGGTATCAATTATACAGTGCAAAGAAACATATTTTATACTCATCAGCAAGTTGATGTGGCAAGACCACAGTCCAAGATGATGTTGATGATCTTAAACTGAATAGCTACTACTGTATCAATATCTTTAAGATAGAAGGGGTGGACCTTGTGTTTCGGTAAGTCGTTTGTGTAAGTTTATCTAACAGTTATCCTGAGATTGGAAGGAAAGAAACCCTGAAAAACCTGAACAAGACAAAAAGCTGATCCCTCAGGCCCAGAGACTTGTTATCATAGTACCTACCTTCTTTTGATACTTTTTCTAGTGTATTTTTCTATCTTATAAAAAGGGCAGTAGGATAAAAAATGCATATTTAGGTGTAAGATACACCATTATAATATTTGTGTAAATCTGTGTCAGAAATTCCTGGACATCCATTCCAAATGTAAGACTGATGCTTTGTGATTCTGAAAAACTGATTACTGACAAATAATAAGTACGATTATTGATAGGGGTACGTGTTTGGATTGAATAGAGTCTTAAGATTACACTAGTGCTACTGTTTAGAAACAAATTCTGTGAAAGTGACGTAAATAGAGGCTAGCAAATGGGGGTGTGTGTTTGTTTTGCTTTGGTTTGATTTAATTTGATTGGGGAGGGGATTGTGTTTGGTTGGTTTGTTTGTTTTCTTAAAAGCATTGCTCCATGAATAGCTCCAAATGTCAGGGTTGGAATAATTGTAAAGAGTAACTGCTGAGTAACCATGGCCTTCCCATGGTGGTTGGGGAGCAGAGCACTAGAGTTGCTCAGTTACGGAAACTTTTACCTAATTGCACTGTCTTCAAATATGTCAGTTAACTACTTGGGGAATTGGAAAATCAGGGATTATCTCTTAAATGAAGTGGAATGTGATGTAGAAGTCACCGTGCAGTAACTGAAAGAACATAACCAGGTAGTCCCTGGCATGTGGCTGAGTGACTTCTCGGGGGGTCTCAGAGTTGCTTTACAGCTTTACATTCTCTGCACAGAAATTACAGCCTGCTTGAGTCAGCTTCTTAGCCACCTTCTGTTTTCTGTCACACTGAAACCATCCTTCCAAAACTTTGAAGTAGGGATGATCTTGATTTGAGGACTGGACACTTGAAAGCTATGGATGAACATTCCTAGAGGGGGAAAGAAACCCAAACAAAACACAGTTTCTTAGAAATACGTGAGGTTCTCAGTGTGTACAAAGAACATGCTTCTCTGCTAGAATAACAAGGGTGACTAAGGTACTTAATATAGTTAAGCCACTTCAAAATAAACAGCACTGGAGGTGGCGTGCCTTGTGAGGGTGTTTCTTGACCCTCTTAGTTGTCAGTCTTTAACTTCCAAGATTAGTAGTAATTACAGCTTTAATGCTTCCTCTCCTTTCAGGTTAGTGTACTGTAAATCACTCTATGTCCACCGCTCCTATGATTATAGTCTCTATTTAGGCACTGGATGTAGTGGAGTATACAGTCATAGCACAGTATCCCTAAGTGAAATTGTATTGTTACACTTCAGGTTGAGCTACTTTCCATTTTACAGTTAATTGGGAAAAGGTATCCACTCCAACCACTTTGTACATCTGAGACTTTCTACATCCAGGTCATAAATTTGGCTGGCTTTCAATATGCAAACTACTTGATTAAATACTCTTTTCTGGGAGAAAATGATTCATTGCTATAGTTTTTAATCCAAATAGACAAAAGCCTGTGTATTCAGATACAAAATTTGTGTGTCTTAAAGAACCTTCATTTTATTCACAGCACTGGACAGGAATTTGGTTTATTTACCAGAAAGTTGTTGCTCTATTTAGGGATACCTGTCTCTGTGCACCTTCTTTCTAGTTCTTTAAGTCTTCCCTGTCCTAGGTGGGTTGGTGACACTGAAGTCTGTGGCTGGTTATGGTTTCATGTACGCTACATTTTTATTTTGTATGATCTTCAGGGCCGTTACTTTACGGGTTTTTTTTCTGGAATTGATCTTCAGAGCAATTTGGTGTACATAACTTTATAAAAACAAAATTGCCAGCTTTTAAAAACCAACTATGTCCTCTAAGTTTATTATAACAGAAGTACTTTTGAAAGTACCTCTCTTGGTGAGGGAGGAATTACTCCTGCTTTTGTTATCTTAAGAAGTTTGTCAGGCACTTAGAGGAGAGCAGCTCATTGTATTTAACTAATCAAGTGGACTGTAGATAGCTGTCAGAAATTCAGTTTATTAGACTGTAGGTTCATGTGTTGGTTTCTGTGTGCTTATGTTCAGTAGTACTGCTTGAAATACTCTGAGGGTAGCTCTTGCTACTTGAGTTGAAGAAAATTCTAGCATTTTATGATACTCTAAGGAAAAAGAGAAGTCATCAACTGGACAAAGTGGGAGCAAACTGCAGAAATGTTTACAAAGGCAGTCCTACTTTGTTTTTTTAATATGCTAATAATGTCTTAGCAGTTCAAATCTCACAATAAGTCCTTCTGCAGAAACACAATGTATTATGGTGTTAATTTACACAGGTTCCCTATGGTGTGTTCATGTTTCTTGTCTTAAGATGAGTGCTGTAGTTATGTGGCAGTTTTAATTGGACATGAATTTTTGCTGCTGTCAAAGTATGGTGTTACTCTCTTTACCTCTGTCCAGTTACTTTAGTATTTCCTAAGTACTGAAAGTTAAGGTCCTGCTCCTGAAAGGTTTTGCTGTGTATAATGATCTGTAATTTCTTGTGTATTAGTCATCCTAACTGCTCATGGGATTACTGAAGCGAAAAATAAAGCACGTGCAGAATTTTGTGCTCTCTAGAATTTAAAAGGCATAACTTGGGTTTTAGAACTGAAATGTTAGCCATATGAGGTGTTTTAATTTGTCAACGTGAATATTTATAAACAGCAGTCTGGTGTTAGTTTTTTTGTAACAGTAACCTAAACTTAAACTTCTACACCTGTATTTTGACCTCGTGATTAAGGTTTACTTTAGTTACAAAATATAATTAGTGGGTTTATGTCGATGTGAGCATATTTTTTAAATTTTTTTTGAAGATTCATTATTTTGGAAAATACTGATGGCAAAGCTAGTGCTGGCTTTACTTGCTTATTGCTTCTGTGTGTGAAGTTTGGACTATGCAATCTAATTTCACTTTACATGCAAGCGCTAAATATTTAATTGTGAGGACTCAGCAGGGACAATTAAGGTGTAAAGCACAGGAAGTGAAAATTGGGAGGTAAAACTTTAAATTTTGTTGATAACCTAGGTATCCTTGTCAAACAATAGAAATACCACTGCACAAAGACTGTGTAAGGCAAGGCAACCTTTGTCTCAAAAGGTTAAGTGTGTAACAGTTATACAGACAGTGGATCATAGAGTGTTACCAAAAGAGTACAAATACTGGTTTTGTTTTGGGTTTTGGGGGTTTTTTATTTGTTACTGAAGATGAGGGAGTCTGGTCTCAGGATATCTGAAGCCTGTGAAATATTTTTAATAGGTATCACAGAAGACAGAATTCAAAATACTTTCTTATCACCTGCATCTGAGTGACGATTAAACAATGAGTAAATATCAAATAGGGTATTTACTAAATTTATTGTAAAATTTACTGTTTGGCTTTTGGGGTTTTTTTTCCGTATTTTGTATTCATCTTGGTAATTAGCAATAGTCTTTTCTAAAAAGCCAGTGTCTAATTTTGCAGTGCTGGCCACAGTTAACCAAATGGACTCCTGCAAATGCTTATATTGATAATGCAAATCTAACACTCCTACACGTGAAATGAAATTTCAAAATAGCGTTGCAAATAGACCAAATAGTTGAAGATCCTCAGTACGTTGCTCAAGTTTCTTTAAATATTTCTTGTGTTAATGAAGTTTAAAAAAAAACCTTGAATATTTGTTCTGTGCCTAAATGTGGTTACTGCAGTTGTGTTGTAGGAGGCTCTTGATATAAAAATGGATTTTGTGAGGCTCCCGGGTTTAAAAAGTGGCTCTGGCTTAAATCTAACGCTGAAGCTGAAGATCCACACATTTATCTCTAATATTAAAAACAGTGTATTTCTACAAATGTGGCATAATATTTTTGTACACCAACTGAGCTGTTTGGGGAATTCCTTGAGACTTATGTATTTTTCCATGCAGTACCTATTTCTGGCAAAGGCAAGTATGCATCACTGTTGCAACTCTGTTAATTCATCTTGTCATATACAGTGTATTTTACTGGGGTTCATACTCTGGACCATTATATTCCTGAAAGTTGTTTGAAGATTTGGAAAGATTTGCTTATGATCTTAAACATTTCTGTGTCTCTATCTTGGGAAATCAAATGGGGAAAAGAATAAAATCCACTACAATATAATTTATAACCAATTATTTTCACTTTTCAGATGTTCCTCCTGCTGATCAAGAAAAGCTTTTTATCCAGAAGTTACGACAATGTTGTGTACTTTTTGACTTTGTTTCTGATCCACTAAGTGACCTAAAGTGGAAGGAAGTAAAACGAGCAGCTTTAAGTGAAATGGTAGAATACATCACACACAATCGCAATGTGATTACAGAACCTATTTACCCTGAAGTAGTACATATGGTAAGTCTATTAACGACGGGAACTATTTTGAATATTTTTTAAATCACAGTTGCTTCTTCAGCTGTATCAACTTATTAAATCTTACCGAAATCTTTAAAAAAGAGTAACTATGTTTGCACTTCTCCAAAATGGTAATATAACAGTGCTTTTAAATCCTGTTGCCAGTGTTGATTCTCTTCTTTGTAAGGTAGAAACTAGACATATACATGAAACAGAAATAAATTATGGTTTAAGTTGGTAAAAATGAAATCTAGTATTTTAAAAAAACAAACAGGGTTGCCTTTTTTTTTCCTACAAATACTTTATTCTTTTTTGACTAGGTATGAAAATAGGGAAGAAAGTTAAATACATTTAGCTGTTAAAATAGCATGCAAATTGCAAACCTGAAAATTTGGAAAAAAAAAAAATTAGAGGATTAGAATTAAGATGTAAGGTTGACACTTTGAGAGGATTAGAATTAAGATGTAAGGTTGACACTTAATCTTATGTAATCCTATTCAGTATACCAGCGATTTGGTTTTTTTCTGTATTCAGAGGTGACAATGAGAGTTGGACCTTATTTAGTACCCACATGAGGATGGCACACGAGGGTTCTGCTGGAATGAGCTACGTGAACCTCTCAGACCTGCGTTCTTTCTACCTGTTCACTATCCAAATCCCAGCCAGATAGACCTAGTTTATTTGTCTGTTGAGCTTAAATCCACTCCAGAGGAGGAGGCTGTGAAAAACTCTGAGTGTCTTTCAGCTCCCTTTGTGGTGACCAGACAGCAGTTGCCCAAAATAGCGGTTGGGTTGAGGTCTCAGTCCTTGTAGCTGTTTTCTTCAGTACACTGAGAACAGAAAGTATCTTTTAAAATAGCTGAACACTAAGCCCACAAGAAACTCTTGCCCATGCGTGACGTGATGGTTTTTCGTGAGACTTTGTAGCTTGGGGTGAATTTTCAGGGGGTTAAGAAAACAGTGCATCTTTAACATAAATATGAACTGAACCAAGTTTTGAGGTCCTCCTACAAATCAGAGACTTTGAAGCTTCTTCAAAGATTCTAAGGATTTATAGTATGAAAGATGTTGCTTATTCTGAAGATTGCTTGTTATCTAAATCAGACGTGTTTACTGATACAGAAGTTATTTTCATGAGAACTTCTGAGTATGTAAGGATTACATATAAGTGTAGATGTCAAACATGTACACAAAGCCTTGAGGATGGTTAATGAGGAGATGTGGGATCACGGCTTTTCCCATGTCTTGATAGCTTATTTATATCTCTGGTTTTTGCTAATTGATTGCTTGTTTTGGAATACTTGACACTGATGAAAGGGGAGTTATGAAAGAAAATAAGCTTGCTGAGAGTTCATTTATGTAAAACAGAGTTCATGATGAGTTCTTGAATATCTGTCAGACATTAGTGTTCGCTCTGCGTAAAACAAGTCCTGACTGCCCATAATTTCATAACTTTTGCCTTATGTGCCTGTGTTATCTTTCTCCATCGAACTGTTATGGCCAGAATACATTGGCTGAGGACAATATATACTGTCTTCAATTTCAAATGCAGCCAATGGTAATAAAGTCTGCACTTCGGTCACTTTAATAAATCTTGGTGCAGAATTTGGCTGGTATCTTAATTGCTGGGAGCGTACGGCGTCTGTTAGGCAATTCTTTCAGTGAATTTAAAATGCTTTTTATGTGCAAGGTTCTAAAGGATACAGGGTTCCCTTGCATGGGACTGATACAGCACTGTGATAGGCACTGTCAATGAAGGCATCTGGACTAGTATTTTGAGGTTAAATTTAGATAGCAAATTTTTTTAGGCTGCTTTTATGGGACAACTTTCTTTTGGTCATCTGTTCTGAAACAGTTTTATTACTCCTGCAGTAGTATTGTCAGCTTCTTTCTTTTAGGCATGTATGTGTTGACTGAGGTGTACTTTTGCTATGTTCTAGCAGTAGATTTGAGTTGATTGTGTGGATTTTAATGAAAAATAATGTCTTTGTGTACTTTAAGACTCTTCAAAGAGACTTTGATAAGTTGTGTGCTGCTACTGCCACTGAACTGTATTTATAAGGAATAGTGTTTTCAGTAGAAGTTATGAGAGTGATCAAGAAATACTCAGATTTGAGAGTGTTTCTTGGTTTGGAAAGTTTGTGGAGTTGGTAGTTGGCACAAGAATTAGGAATTTACTGTGCTATTCTCTTCATCTTCAGTCTGGAGGTTACTCATTTATGTATGGATACATATAGATAGACATGCATATATACACGTGTGTGTGTGTCTGTCTAATTTTTGTTTGGTTTTATTAATGCATTATTTAGGCTAAACACGTAGGGCAATAAATTTCACAAATTACCTGTTTAATAATAATAAAATAATATGTTTCCTTTTCAGTGGCCTCAAGTCCTCTTTCTCTCTGATAAGAGAAGCATCTGCCATATCATCTGGTGGTTCTTTATTCTTCATAATTCTAGTGTTCATGTCATTTCCATCCACCCTACTCGCACCCTTCTTTTTTTGCTTCAAGTTTCCTGGGCTAATTTGTAGTAAGGTCTTGTCTGTAAGCTGTATATTCATCTTGTCACTTAGTTCAGTTATTTAATGTTAAGCATAAGTCTCCTTTTCAAAAGATATGAGATAAATTAATTTCTGAAATGGATTTAATGTTATTCCCTAGAGTGGATGTAAGAGTTTCTTCCCTTTCTTCCTCAAAGAGCCAGCTGACATGTCCTTCAAATTCTTTTTACATTTCTAAGCAAAGATGTGATGGTAAAGGAAATGCTTTTATTAAATGCTTGTGTAACAAGTTCCATTTCTCAGGTATACTATTGTAAGGTTGGATTGATTAGCCTCAGAGCAGGAACTTGCCTCGAATCAAAACTGCAAGATATATAGTAAAATGTCTGAATAAATCTTATAAGTGATAAATTTAGGTTTTTTGATCAAAAGGATCAGTTACAGATTCTTATTTAGAAAATAATACATCCTTTTTTTTAAGCTTGGCTTTTGAAGAAAGCAGGGCTGTATGAGAAAGTTCTGTTGTACGCTGGTTTGGCAGAAGCACAGATGCTTAGGATATTAGTTTCGTAGAACTTTGTGAGAATTGCTTGCTAAGTACAATGCAGACCCAAATTAACGCCACTTTCCACCTCAGGGAAGGAAGGGCAATATCTGAATTGTGTCTGTTTTAAGAGGGACTGTGCAAGTGAACATCAAAAGGAATATTCACGTCCCCAGCTGATCAGGCAGAGGGCACTGAGGAGAGCTGAGAGGAGGTTAGGGCAGTACTGGATGTGAAGGTCCAGGCGTGTAGTTTCTGAGAAACAAGTAGGTCAAAAGCACGTATGAATATGACTTACTTATTATTGTAGCTCCCAGAATTATTTTCGTAGTGATGATGATGATGAAGAAGTACTCGGGGATGGTGAATTAAAGCTTTTGTGAAGCACATAAGTTAATATTGCTTTTTTGAATTCAGAATGCATAGGAAGAGATCTCAATTCAGCAACTGAAAGGGTTTTCACTGCAGCTTTTAATGCATTATGAAAATTAAATTACGTAGTTATATGCATAGGAGGTTGATTTTTTTGTTGTTGTTGTTTTGGGGGTTTGCAGGTGTGGGATTTAGTTTTGTTTTTTTACTCTGGTCTTTGGTCTAGAGTAAGAGATGTCACTGTGACTAGAAGTGTGCTACTTGTGGCTTTAGAGCTATTAGGATGGCTTTATTCACATCAATGTAGAAGGTGCAGACTTTGAGATTATACAGCTCGTCATTCAGAGCTGTTGTTGCCAGGCTTCATTCAGGCTGCTCAGCAGAAGGGAGGAGAAAATGTGTAATGGTATCTCTGATACTTGCTTGAAAATATTCTCAAATGTTATACAAAATCAGCAGAACAGCATAACTACCATTACAGCAAACATATCTGTGAAGTGGTAAAAATGAAGATTCTTTGCTTTTCCTTTTTTGTTCTCCCATCTTCCTAAGTTATGTCTTTTGGAGTTGAGTATTGTCAACGCTAAGACACAGAGAGGGTTTTGGCACAGGTTTCATAAAGACTTAAATATCATAAAGTTGGAGGGGCTTGTGGGAGCGGGAGGAGCTGGGGAAGGGATGTGTTTAAGTGATGCTATGTTTACTTAGTACTTCTGTGGGAAATTGGCCCTAGAGGAAATTAGGCTTTGCAGCTTGACTTTTCTGTTTGGTTAAAAGGCACAGAAGTTTGGAAAAAGATCAGCCTTTTGACAGAAAGGTAAACGTCTCACTGATATTAATTTGTGGTAAAATTTCCTAAATTTTGGTAACTTAATAGGCAAGAGTTTCACATCTGTGCCTTCACAGGGAGATTCTGCACCTTCATTTGAGCAGTTTTGTGTTCTGTTGGTCAAGGATATAAAACACAAAACAGATCAAGTCAGGCATTATCGGTTCCGTTGCTCATGGAATAAATGATTCTGTTTGGGGTTTTAACTCTTTCCATTTGATATTCTCAAAAATAAAAGAATATAAAACATTATACCTAACACCTTACATGATCCAGCTTTCTTCTTTACTGCGAGAGCCTGAGACATTCTCATCTAGAAACGACTGACTGTTCTTCCATTTACTTAACAACCTTAGCAGTTTTTTAATTTCAGGTCTAGTCTTTCTGGTTTTTTTTGGTTGTTGTTGTTTTTTTTTCTTGGAAGACCTTTGATTATTGTAAATTATCACTGCATTTTTTTAAACAGTGGTTGGAGGTTGTCAGCTGCTTGATGTCTATGCTTTTAAAAAGGGGAAAGTGAAGATATTTTAGCTTTACTTTTAATTTTCTGAAATAGCAGTTGCTCTGGTATACCAGTCTTAGGCTATACCAGACCTACATCTCAGTTGCTGAAATGAAAGAATATTTTGAAGAAAAATAGAGCATCAAGATGACTTTTCCTTCATGGGAATATGATGTAAGTCTTGCAGATTTAGCTGGTGCGGTTTGATACTGCCTCCCACTGTCTGCTCTGCCATCTGTCAGATGGGAGATGGCAGGACAGCACATACATATGCTCTTTAGCCCTGCCACTTAATAGGTAATTCACAGCATTATTTTAAACTGTGAATGGAGGTGTTAATGAGAAGAAGTCAGAACGTGAAGTGGGAAACAAAGCATTCTGTTGCTTTTCCTAGAGTCCCACCAAAGATGGGTGGAATGCATTCCTCTGCAAAATAGCATCTTTATACCGAGACAGCTTAATCTGTCAGAGCTTTTGAGTAATCTTCAAATGATCAGCAAGAAAGCTTTCACGCTTTTTAAAAAAAAAAAAAAAGACAAGCCCCCAAAACCCCTCAGTAAAACCTGAGAAAAGAATAAAAATGTGTGTATGGCACATGTGATTATTGTCTGTGATGGAATTTCAACGTAATAAAGACTGAAATTTTTGGCATAAAGAATAGATTTGAAATGTGATATTGGAGTAGACCTTGCATACTGGGTAGCTACATTGTAAGCAAACTCAAACTTGTAGGGTTTAGGATTTTTTCCTTAAATTGAGCTGTATTATACCGTTGTTGAAAGTGTAGGAACCTTTCGAAGTAAATAAAATGCTATTTTGCATCCTCAAATAAGACATTCCGTTCAGTGCAAGTTCCAATGGACGAGTGTTTCTTTTTCTAGCTGGTCCTGGAGATGCCCTGTACTGGCATGTTTGCTGAGCCAACCATTGGTTGTCTTGAAAAGGCTCTGTAAATGTTGCTGCTGCTCCTGGTGATGTAACCTTTTTGCAAAGAATTTTCTTTTCCCTGAACAGATCAGCTTCTCTGCCCTGTTGTCTCTTACTTTGCCAAACTTAGGAAATGTTTTCTCACATTTTCCCCATAATACTTGCAAAATGACACCTCCAATCTGTTGCAGCAGTAGAATATCAATAACAATGTATAGCTTAACTCTTACCAGTACTTGTGGTACATATTTAGGATAAGGAGTGTGTGTATGCCTTATGCTGAAGCTCCATGCAGCCACCTGCAGCTGATCTGATAAATCAGTTTTGTGCAGGATGTAGCTCTCCATGCAATGCTGCCACCAGTCTCATTGTGAGCATGTATACCAAAATTTACCTTAAATTGTCTTGCTATTTTTAGAAAGCTCAAAATGATCTATGTAGTTGAAAGCAGAACTCAACTTTAGTGTTGTAAGAAGGAATAGACTTGAAGAAAATTTTTTTATGGAGCAGAATATACTCAATTGTTTTGAAGGACTAGGGCAGTATTCGCTGGGTGTGTATTTTGGCAGTTTTCTCATCATTTCTGCAATGTATTCAAGCTGCTGAAAGATGAGGCATTTGTTTCAAAGGATCATTTTGAAGTAGTAGAGGGGGTTTGGGACCATATACTAATTTAGATTGATCAATTTTATTATTTTTTTTTTTCTGTACTAAATAAGCTTAGACTGCTTGGTGCTGGTTTGATAATGAGAACAGGATCGTCTCTATTGGGTGCAATTAAGTGGCTAAATAGATTACATTTTTCTACTTGCTCAGCAATTTGGTTGTTGCCTACCAACATCTACCCTACCTAATACTCTGGATTACAAGTGGAATTGAGGAATTAGTGTCTTGCTGTTTTGCCTATACAGATACAGGATTTCTTACTGGCACACACAGAAACGTGTTCCTTCCAACTTGCTCAGTAAAGTTTTAATCATTAACTCCTCAGCGTGTGAGAGCAACCATTTGGATCAGTAGCTAGTTGTTCCTTTCTCATCCACAAAGAAGCCAGCTGGTTTTGCTAGCTGTCATTACAGGTGGAGAATTTGGGATACTGCACCCAGATATTTGAATCTTTGCACCTTTCTGGGTAAGGTTACTTACTGTTGAGAATGCATGCTAAATTTATCCCAAAAATCATTAAGACTTTTTTTTTTCACCCAACCAAATGTGGTTTATTTTGTGTTTGTGATGCTATGCACAGTATAAATTGATATAAATGTGGTTATTTCTGATTATGTATTTTTATTGTAAAAAAAATCAAGCTCCATGTGTTTAGTGATGAGGTTGTTTTGCCCAGAACAGGACCTCATAGAAAAGTTTTCTGTCCACATGACAGGGAATGGGCATTTTTGTCTTTATTAGGGATTTTGAAACTCATGTTAAAGGGCTTTATGAAGAGTGCTGCTCTGGTTCATGCATAGTATGAATGTATGTCTAGACAAGCACTTGGAAACACAAAAATAATTTATCTGTGCATATATCAACAACTTGAAAAGCATTTCATCTTTGTAGTCTGCTCCACTTCCATGAGGATGATAAATGGTTTTCAGGGCTTTGAGAACTGAGATGAAGAGAAAGATTAAAGGATTGGGATGTGCATTTCTCCCCCCAGTGCCCCCTGATGGCAGGTAGATGGACGTGGTTGAAGAGAAATACCACTAAGAGGGAGAGGGAGGAATTTGGTTTTGAAGTGTTTCCATGTGTGTTGGCGCACGGTGTGGAATGAAAGGGGTAATTTTTTTATAGAGAAGAACAGTTGCGGATAATCTTTTTTTTGCATCTCTGCCTCTGACTTCCATTTTTGCAGGTTGTTGCAAGGCCTTGTAAAGTGTATATATAAAAAATATTTGTGTAAACATTTTATATACATTTGCATAAGCTTTTAAAATGCGTGTGTGTGTGTGTAAAGAGATCAGAGCAATATCCTCATACAACACATCCTGACAGTAGGTTTGTGCTTTAAAGAATACTGCATGGAAAAGTTAGAAATCTTTAAAGAAGAATGAATGTACCTCATTGTTTAAACTACAGGATTACATGGCTTGTATTTTCACAAATACTAAAATAGTTCATGTAAGTAATTCTCAGTCAAAACCACCTTTGAAGTCTTTGTTTAATCATTCACTTGTTTCAAAGTTCTTAAAGGCACATGTGATTTCAGTTTGCAGTTAATATGTTTCGAACATTACCACCATCTTCCAATCCAACGGGGGCAGAATTTGATCCAGAGGAAGATGAACCAACCTTAGAAGCTGCATGGCCTCATCTACAGGTAGTTAATGAAGACAAGGACATCGTAGTTCAACAGAATTTTGACTTTAAAGTCATTGTTTATTGACTTAAATTTGTTTAGGTTATGTGATTGTCTCAAGTCAATTTCTCTGCAATATTTAAAATATATTTCTTTAATTTAAACAGATAATATTTTTAAAAAAATTCAGTTAGTATATTATAGGTTAAAGGTTTGTTGTTTCTTGTGGTACAGATGTGACTGCTGTGATTTTAAATGAGCTTCCGTTTGTCACTATGAGTGCTTTGATCTGACTCTGACACAGCTTCAGCTTTCAAAGATACTGTGACAAACAGAGGAGAACAGAGAATTTTCAAAACACGTACTCCTGGGCATGATGAATTTTAGATTACTGTATGTCATTTGAGTAAAATCTATTGATGGAGCTCAGCAGAATTTCAATGCAGTTTGAAGAACCTTAAGTTCTTGTACTTTGTCAGGGGAGCAAAGGCAAAGCTTTTACTGTGTGGTATAGAGATAAATAGAAATAAAAACATAATGCAGTTCTCAGCAACTAATTAGTAATTTTGGTAATGTGCTGCTTATAAAATGGTTCCTTGTTTAAAAGACTAATACTATTTTTTGTTGTTTTTTTTTTTTCAGCTTGTTTATGAATTTTTCTTAAGGTTTTTAGAATCTCCAGATTTTCAACCTAATATAGCTAAGAAATATATTGATCAGAAGTTTGTATTACAGGTGAGGTAAAAAAAAAATTGAACTTTAATCTCTAAATTATTTTTATAATGCATTAGATTCGAGTAAAGCACATATTTTCTTTTCCCTCTTTGCAGCTTTTAGAGCTTTTTGACAGTGAAGATCCTCGTGAAAGAGATTTTCTTAAAACAACTCTTCACAGAATATATGGGAAATTCTTAGGCCTAAGAGCTTACATCCGGAAACAAATTAATAATATATTTTATAGGTATGTCAATATATTTCTATTATGTTGCATGTGATCAGGTCCACAACCAAAAATACTCCAAGACACTGCTTCCTCACAACTGAGATACACCATTTAGTGCTCATGAAAAATTTTTTTAATCACTATAGAATGAACTGTATTATTATCCTCAATAAAAAAAAAGTAAAGATGAAATATTAATGCACTGTATTACCAAAGGTCGTTACAAGTGTGTTTTTACTGCCATGTCAAGTGTGAATGCAAGGTTATTGTGCCTCCCTTTTAGTCTTCTAGTTTTGGTTTGCTTCTCTCTTGTACAAATAATTATGTTGTGTATCAGTGTTATACTCCTTCCCTCATGCTTCCCCTCTCTACCACTCCCAAAATGAATGTGTGATGCTACCCCTTTAAAAAAATAGGAAAAAGCTGCCACCACTCGGTGCCATCTCCTGAATGGCACCCAGCAGTACCAGCTGTAGAGGGAGCTTATCTCCCCTGTCTGTGATAACAAGTGAGCCTTTACAAGAGATACAGAGGGGCTACTTTAAAATAATTATTAAGCTTTTACTGTCTTGCAAACAACTGGTCTTGACCGAACCCATCAGGAACCAGTATGTTCTAAGGAAAAAGTTCAGGTGTATCTTTCAAAGAAAGATGTACATTTTCCCCCCACGTATAGATTTTATTAAATTAATTCCAAAATGCATAATTTGGTAAAATATAATGCACTTCTGAACAGTGTTTTTATTTGCTACTTTGTGCACTTTACTTTCAGGGATAAGGGAAGCAAAGTCTTGAAACACGTAGTCCTGGTGCAAGGAAGGACTATGAAATGTTCTGGTCATTAGATCAACTTTGTAATAGCTTGTATAAAAATACATTTTCAATCTGAAATGTATATGGAGATCATATAGTTTGCACTGTAGAGAATACCTTTCTCTACCAAGTTGTAGGGGAAAAAAGTAAAACAGCAAACCTCACTTAGTTGTATAATATTTAGGAGCTAGGAGTTGAATCATTTTGCATCCAAATGTGAACTAGTGTTCCTGGATGCGAGCACCAGAGAGGAAAGTTGTTACAACTTCTGTCTTGAATTAGTGGATTGTGCATGGTAAGCTCTTAAAGTATGTGTAGAATTTTTCCAAATATTTCCTTTTCTTATACTTTTTCCTGCAAGTTGTCAGTTTGTTACTGTGCTTACCTAAGAAGTGTATGGGTTTTATTTGTTTTTTATTCACTGACAAGAATTGCATTAGTTCTTTCCTGATAGTGCGCTAATCTTATTTTTTCCTAATATAAAAAATTATGTATTTAATTATTAAACCTTTATGTCCCTGTTAATTAAGTCCAAAGCTTTTCGTATCATTGTCTTCAGTTTTTCTTGGAATTGTTGCTGTGAATTATATGGAAAGGGTCTTTGAGGAGAAAAAACAGTCACATTAAATATTGTGGATTAAAAGTAATCTTAGTACGTCAATCTATGAATAGTTTTCAAATAGAAAAATATTTTCTAACAAGTGAAATTATTTTCTTATAAGCATAATTTTTTGTAACTATTTGCAAAATACCTGAAGTTCTGCGTAGAACTTTCTTGATAAATTTACACTCAAGCAATTGGGAAGAAGGATGGAGAGGTGATTGCCTAGTAAATTACAGTGCTTTAACAAAAGAAAATTCAGAAAAATTTGACTTCCTCTGTTTATTACAGACCCTTTTGTATGCACAAAGGTCTGTAATGCCAAACAGCTTTTTAGATCCGTAAGTAGGAGCTGTTTGAACACCTTCTGCTTGCAGGCGCTATAGAAGGTTGAGTCATGGCATTTGATTATGCCAGATGCTCTTGTGTTATTTTAATATTTAAAGCATTGTTTGCTGTGTTGGGTTTTGCATTATTAAAATGGCATAGAATATGAGTATTGGAAAAAGCTCCAGTCTGTGCTGTTTTGTTAAATGTGGGAGAAAAGAGCAAGTGTGTGAACGTTGAGAGCAGCTTGATGTGCTATTGATTTATGTTCCCACAAAGTTCCTTTTCCACTATGTATTTCTGTTTTCTTTTTACTGAGGGACTGGAACCTGGGAGATCAAGGCTAACTGTAATGTTAGATGGAGATCTTGGTGTTAGATTTGTATCTCTCTTCAGCAGTAGCTGAGTAAAACTTTTCATTTCTTTAGGTTTATTTATGAAACAGAACATCACAATGGCATAGCAGAATTACTGGAAATACTGGGAAGGTAAGTTGTAGGTTTTGTTTAAACTCGCTTGGTCTTCAGACTAGACTTTAAAAATCAAATTGGGGATTGCAGATTACTTTGAAACAAGATCAAAATTAACAAGATTAAAATTTTCAACTCTACTTAGCACTTGTCAGGCCACACCTGGAATACTGTGTTCAGTTTTAGTTCCCTATATACAGTAAAGATGTGGACAGGCGGGAGAGGCTCCAGAGAAGGGCCACCAAGATGATCCAAGGCCTGGGAAGCCTGCCACATGAAGAAAGGCTGAGAGAACTGGCTTTGTTCAGCCTTGAGAAAACAAGGCTTAGGGGAGATCTTATCAACATGTTCCAGTATTGAAAGGGTGGCTGCAAAGAAGATGGAGACTCCCTTTTTACAAGGAGTCATATGGAAAAGATATGGGGTAACAGGTACAAGTTACTCCTGGGGAGATTCCGATTGGACACAAGAGGAAAATTTTTTCCAATGAGAACAATCAGCTGTTGGAATAACCTTCCCAGGGAAGTGGTAGATTCCCCATTATTGAACACTTCAGATTCAGCAATGGATAGGCTGCTGGGCCATCTTGTCTAGACCATGCTTTTGCCAAGAAAGGTTGGACCAGATGATCCTTGAGGAGAATACCTTCCAACCTGGTGTTCTATGATTCTATGGAAGTAGCTTCATATCATGTGTCAAAGCTGTAAAAAAGAGAAGTTTTGTGTAAGATTGCAGAAACACAGCAAAAACTTGAACCTTGTGGCAACATTTTGGGATGTGACAATTTTTTAAATCTCATTTTTTAAAGTCTTATTCTTAATTTAGGATCCTTGTAATTAATATTAATTGTATAGCAACTACAAATAGCATGTAATGAGTTGAAATTTATTCACAAATTCTTATAACATCACTAAATGCATAGTGGATAAATGAAGCACAGGTTATGAGACTTCAGAAACCATTTGTTAATCACATTATTTTGCAAACTTCTGTGATGCATCTGAAAGCCCTTGAAACTAAAATTTTACAACTTAAGGCTGATAACCTCATCAGTGTGTTATGGATCGATTAAGCTAACGGGCTTTTTATCAACTGATTTCTCTAACCCCTGTGCAAGTTTTTTGGGTTTTTATACATTAATACACTTTAAGAGCATCGTCAGGTTTACATTATCATGTTTCCATATCTTTGCAACAGAAAAATAGCAGGTCAGTAAGAGCAGGTAGGGCCTGTGGACTTGGGAAAGGGGTGGGCAGAGCATGATTTGACTATTCTGTTAATTTGTAATCTTTAGAGAACTGGATCAAAAATTGAATACTTTCTGGTGCATGCTTAATTTGTAAATTTTTCAGTTGCATCATGTTCTCTAGGAGATGGCAAAAAAAAATAATGCACTGAAATCGAGGATTTTTGTATATCCTGTACAGTAGTGCAGATTTTGTATAATTACTAATCTTTAGTTTTCAATATCTTTCCCTGGCAGCATAATTAATGGATTTGCCTTACCATTAAAAGAAGAGCACAAAATATTCCTATTGAAGGTTTTGTTACCGTTGCACAAAGTGAAATCACTCAGTGTCTATCATCCACAGGTAAGGTTTGTTCAGTGTTTTTTGTATTAGTGTTAAAGTAAGTTTGCCTGGAGAGGTCGGGAGACTCTAGTCATTCTGATGTGGATTCTATTCTAAGCTCCAACACCTCCCTGCTAACTGGCTTTGGGTATATTATTTAATATATGTACCCATAATGCTTCACTTGTTCAGAAAAAAAAAAATAAATTGAAACTATATATATGTGTGTGTATAAATAAATACCTTTTTTTAAAAGCACTGTAGTCTTTATAGATTAAATGCATTAAATACTTGGTTAATATGAGAGTTCTTGGTATTTATCCACACACAGAATTTTTTACTTACGTTGTTCTTGTCTGTAATCTTTAGACATATAAAAATTGTGGAAAAGTAAGGTTTTAATGAATGTCATCTATAAACAGTATTTTCTAAACTACGTGGAAAATTTCAGCTGAATTGAGTTTCTTACAACTGTTGATGTTTTGAAAGGAACTTGGCAGTTACTAGGACATCATTATTTAATTCAATAGATCTTTTTAGAAGTACAAGGGAAAAAAAGGGGGTATCTGAGTTGTATCATGATTTTAAACCAGCTGTATCTTTTCTGTGCTGAGTTTAGTTCCATTCAGAATTCCTAGAGAAGTGGGAAATCATACGATGTTAAAGCACACACAGTATTATTGTGATACGCAAACATTTTCTCTGTGAGATGTTGTTAGAGAGCTTTGGTTTTTTAATTTGAAAGTTCAACATTTTCTATGTTAAGTTCAAGTACTCCAAGTTTTAAGTACCATTGCATCAAATAAAATTACTAACAACATGTATTTTCAAGAACACCATTTGTAGAATTACAATTCTCTAGCAATTAGAGGTGCTTATAAGCATTTGCTTTGGATCTTGCCTACTGGGGCTCACATCAGTTCATGTTGAAATAGCCTGGAGTGGGTCCCATTTAAAAAGATATTTTTTTCTTTTTTTTCTAATGCTGTGAATGTAACCTGTTGAGGTGTGGCCAATCAGAGCTTTCTTAAAATCTCAGGTAGTGCAGGCATCTGTGATCATCTTTTCTTCTGTCTCCCTGAGATTGTTTGATCTTTATCTATTCCCCTTAATTCTCCAAAACCTTCAGGTGATTTGCATTCCTCATTACTAGCAGTAAAAAGAAGACAGTGAGATAGGGATGCACTGTATGCAGTGATCCCCCTGGTTGGTTTGGGACTATTGGCCATTTAGGCACAGAGACATTCTCAGAGTTGGAACTGGTAAATACTGTAATTCAGCCTCGGTTTGCATCAGTTTTACATTGATAGACATAGTTGTCATTAGTTCTCATGTACAGAAAATCGTAAGATTTATAACTGTTCAATGCATTTTTAACTAACTTAGGTTATGAAATAGAAAATACTTATTAAATTGGCATGGCACACCAAAGTGTTAGCGAGTGGAAGGCACTTTAGAGGAGAAGACTGTGATTTTTGAATTCTGGGTTTGAAAAGATTTAGTGGGCTGAAATGCAAAGTACAAGGTCTAAAAAGAAAGCACCAAATTATGTATTTGTCTATATTGTAATCCAGAAAAAGGTGAGGATGGACTTGGGAAGGCTGGGAACACTTAGTTAAGAATGTTTACCATTTTGTTGTTTAAATTGTCTGCCAAGTAGTTTTTGTAAAATGATAGAAAAACTGATGTGTTTTTATTTTAATTCAGTAGTGTTCTCTATTTATGGTAGTGATTTCAAAGTGTGTTCAGTTTCACAGTGAGCATTAACAAAAATGTTTTTCTTTTACTGTAGCTGGCGTACTGTGTAGTTCAATTTTTAGAAAAGGACAGCACGCTTACAGAACCAGTAAGTTTGTCTTGCTATTATTACATATTTTTGAATATTAATGTCCCTTTCATCTGTAGACTGTTTAAGGAGGTGTGGGAAAAAAGTATTGATGTGTGATTGTTTTTAGAAAGAGTCAAATATTTAACCATTTTGATGTATCAAATTCAGTTTTTCAACAGTTGTTTGGAATATCCAAAATGAATTAAAACAACCTTTTGCAAACAGACCAGAGTTTATTCTGCTTATTTTGTTCTGGCTGACGATATGAGATGGTTGATCCAGAAGCAGTTTAGTCAGAAATTAGGTTGCCTGTGCTCTGTGTTCTGTTGAAAGACTGATGTTATGATGGAACACAGATTTCTGGCACACGGAGCTACCTACTGATGCAAAGCTTTTGAGTCAGATCCTGTTCATGTTTACCAAGTTTGGACCATAGACAAAACCAGACTTTGGTCTGGCTGCACATAATTGCATACATGAATACTTCTAATTGTCCTCAATAGTATATAATGTTTTGCCTCATTACACCCAGTATTCAGTAGGTAAGTAGTAAGAACTAATATGTTTAACCACTAAGTAAAATGATTACTACTAATAGAAGTGCACATTATTATAACCATTTCCATTGTAAAATGGAAACTGGGATTCCTGAAACAAACAAATTATGCAGCTGAGCAAGAACTCTCTTCTACTTGGAGCCTTTAAGATATCAAATCTCAGACATTCTGTCATTGGTGCTAGATGAGATCTTGAAATCTTAGCTTTCTTCCAGACATCAGCTAGGATGTTACCAATTTTCTAGTAAAAATCAAAACTAATACACTTCGAAGTCTGTTTCCCTTTTTGATCCCAAATTAGTACACCATTACAACATTCTTTAAAAATTCAGTACGTGCATCACTGAAGTACTAAATTCCCCTTCAAAAATTCTGGTCATTACAAAATAAAATGTTTTGTTTCCTTTTATGATTGTCGTATGAAACTTTTTGACATCTTATTAAAAAGTCTGCGTAAATTTCTCAAGGCTTCATTGAGGACAGAGTGTCTGCTTTCATGGTTAAACAATACATACATGAAAGATGCAGTTGTCTTGTCAGTGATTATATTAAATATTGCTTATAGCTTTTAAATATAAAAAGCTCGACTTCTGTAAAAATGTCTTCAATTTCAGAAAATTTTTTCTCCTAAATGAGAGAAAAATATTGTTGTCTGAGAGAAAGGCTAATGGATCATTGCAGCTTCTAAACTATATAAAAAGACAAATAGAAACTTTATTTTAAAAGAGTTTTTTCAAGATGCTTGTACCATTTTGGGTGTTGGGTTTTTTTTTTCTCCAGTTCTACATCTAGGACTAGACAGATACCGGCATGGTTTTGTTCTTTATATGGCCTTTTAATCTTTAACAACAAAACAAAAGCATTTATAAACTTAGACATTCAAGGTTGTATTAATTTCTCATCAAAAATACCTAAATTTAAGATTGACTGCTATGCCAGTCATTTTTAAGTATCTAACATGGTCTAAATAACCTTTGAAGAAAAAAGTCTTCCTATTTGAATATTGTTTGATGCCAAATTGCCACAGATGGAAAATAGGGTTTATAGTTAAAAAAATAAAAATAATTATTTTAATATCTTACACTTTGGTTTGAAAAAGGACATATTTGGGGAAAAAAAAATCATCATCCTTTCATAACAAAAATTTTGTGTCTACTTGCATTTTCCTTAAATCAGAAATTCCTAACAGATTCTTGAATAAATTATGATGTAGTTGATAACTTATACAATGTGTAAATATATTTAACTGCTAACCTAGTATCGCTTTTCAGACTTAAATTCTTCTACTTACATATTCAATAGATGAGAGAGTTTGTGTTTCAATTAGACTTCAGAAACATTTCCCACAGATGCATAGACTGTTCCTGCAGAGTTGTGAGCCAGCTGGGAGACAACTTCCTTTTGTGTCACATTCTTGTGGATCCCTTAGTTGTCTCCCCCTTGTATCCTGCCACAGTTCTCCCACCTGTCTTTTGAGTCTTCGTGGTTTGCCAGGCAGAAACTGTTTCAGCAAGCTGGATCAATGATTTCATAATCACGAAGAAAGTTAAGACTGTGATTATAGTAACAGAGTCAATTAAATAAAACTCAACATTTAAGAGCAATGTGCCTAGAATAGTCAGTCGCTTGTCAATTTGAATATTTATAATAAATCTTTACTTAAAATACAGTGTTAGAATTCAGTTTCTTGAGCTCTGGAGTACGCCTCCAAGAAATTGGAGATTGAAAGCTGCTATCACTCAAGCAGCAGATAATTTTCCCCACGGTATAATAGCAAATTTGCACAGTGATTTGATGATCACGTTAAGTTAGACGTCAGGTTACTCTTTTTAGTCTTTTGATCGTTATTTTTGAACGTGCCTTTTAAGTATATAACTTTGGTTTCTGAAGAAATGTTTTTAGACCTATTGTCAGTTATTTCTGTGACACTGAACTATATATGATCGCTGCTATCACATGGGTACAAGAAATGTGACTTTTGTGTTCTGTTTAAAATACCGTTTTTCTCAATGAGACATAATTTTAGTGCAAATTACCATGAAGAATATGTTAATTTTCTCTCTACAGGTTGTAATGGCACTGCTGAAATACTGGCCAAAGACTCACAGTCCAAAAGAAGTCATGTTTTTAAATGAACTAGAAGAAATTTTAGATGTTATTGAACCATCTGAATTTGTAAAAGTTATGGAGCCCCTTTTCAGACAGCTAGCCAAATGCGTGTCCAGCCCACACTTTCAGGTCTGTACTTACTAAATGTACAATAATATGAGGATTTTTTTATAAAGCAGACTTGTTAATGGTATTGCCTACTGTTAGTCATCATAATTAATTCTGTTTGTTGCCAAAAATCTTCAATTCTGTGTCAAATTTTAGAGATGCAAATGTTTAGCTTTTCAAGTTTAGTTTCTTAGTTTCAAGTTTTTTTGGATTCTTTTCAAGAGTTGTGGTATGTGCATTCGTATTGGGAGATTCCCTTCAGCATTACGCTTAACATAAAAGCTTAAAAGCTCTGTTTTCAGAAGTACCTGAAGCCTTTTGGTACGTCGTGTTTGCATTTCACTACTTGTCATGGAGTTCTACAAATACTCTTTTTCGAAAAATGTTTTTTTGCTTGAATTTCAGAGTTCACAGGTTACAGTTTGAATCATGTCCCTGTCAAGGAAAAAGCAATTTTTCCATCTTTCCATCAGCTCCATGATTCCTATTTGCACTAGAAGAATCCAAATCTAAGTTTTAACTTTTCTTATCTTTCCTTCATGTTTGCCAAATGTTTCAATTATTTGCTCTTTAAGAGATTTTCTGAAGAAGTGTTCCTTTTTTCATGTCTTCTTAGGTTGCAGAGCGAGCATTGTACTACTGGAATAATGAATATATTATGAGTTTAATTAGTGATAACGCAGCAAAGATTTTACCCATCATGTTTCCATCCTTGTACCGGAATTCAAAGACGCATTGGAACAAGTAAGGAACACTTGTAGAAATAAAATTCTACTACTTATGTTTAGTTTTAGGCTTAAGAGGGTTTCAGATCTTTGAGTTGTTGTAACAGTCTGTTGAGCTGTTTATGATGATAAAGTAGCTGGATAAGGAGGAGACTGCTGTTGTCAAAATTTTTAGGAAAATACTGAGACTGAGGAAGATAGTTTTTCCTTTTTTCATTAAACAAGAAACAGTGTTTTAGTGCATCTGATCCATGATGGTTTTTATTAATATGAAGCAAAATTGGCATTAATCTCTAGTTTAGATACCTCTGAAGACTAACTTTATTTTCTGATTTCTAACCTCTTTGCTGATTTGCATTTCTTCTGCATTCTCGTGGAATATGTTGTAGATCAGGTCATTTTTTTCCTTTCCTTTTTTTTTTTTCCCCCCTTTTTGTTGATTGCTTTCTCTTTTTTTTTCTCCATTGACTATTTTTGCTTGTTTTCCCCACAATACCACAGTACTTAGGCACGAGAACAGTCCTGGTCAGCTCCTTTCTGCAGCTGTTCCATTGTAAAGTGCCTCTTTGTTTGAGCTATGGAGCAACTGCTGGGATGGTGACGGTCTCCCAGTCTGGTGCTGGCCATGAGCTGAGGACCACTGGTGGGTTGGCCAAGAATGAGTAATCAATCTGCCACTAAACACCAGAAAAGAAACGGGAGATTAAGTGACGTTAAAGCGTTTGGTTGCTGTCACTGGATGGAAGCAGTAACAAATAAAATACTGATGAATGACAGTCTGATCCAGTGACACAATGTACATGGCACATGTGGGTTGGTCTCGGGTGGTTTTTCCAGCATTTGAGGCCATGCATTTGTTTTATTCTGAGCAGAAGTCGTGCTGCCCAGTACAGCTGCACTCTGACTTGTAACTCGTGTGATACAAAGTAATCACTTAACTGATTGCTTTTTTGGATTTAATGATCAGCGATACATTACGGACTGAAACTGTAAATTGCTCTGTAAAAGTGCTTCCTAAAACAGATTATTTTTCTTTAATTTTTCTGACATTTTCCACCTCACTTTTCTAACGAGCCCTGGCATCATCGTGTTGAAGGGAGTGCTGTTGCTGTGTGGTGGCTTTCAAAATGAATGGTATCTTTTCTAGGCTCCTTTTAATCACTAACTTTTTCTTTTTTCCTTGAATTTGTCGGTTGGCAGTAAGTTACTTACATTGCGATCTTTAATGTCATCTTGCATTTTCTCTAATAACCCTAGTTTGATTAGTGTCAGCCACTAAATTTCAAAACTAGTCCTGTATTGATAACACATAGTGTGAAAAATGAAGTTCAAACATCAAAATTGTAAGTGATTAGTAGTAAGTGATTAGTTTGTTGTGTGGGTGTCTATTTTTGTCAGTTAGGTTGATGGTTGGACAAGATGATCTTTAAGGTCCCTTCCAACCTAGAAGATTCTGTGATTCTGTATTATAGAGTAAGGAAACTGCATTCAAAGTTGATAATTTTAGTATGTGTTGACCAAAAAAATAGCTTTCAAAGTTTAAAGTACTCTGAGTTTCAACCAGAAGTTTTACTTATAGGACAATACATGGCTTGATATACAATGCTCTGAAACTCTTCATGGAGATGAACCAAAAACTGTTCGATGACTGCACACAGCAATTTAAAGCAGAAAAACTGAAGTAAGTTTTCATGTCAGTGTGTCTGTCTGTTCTTGAATCATTTGTTCAGAGTGCTTTAGCTCTGAAAAACGACTGTGTCTTTAGTGGGATGTTGCCCATTTGATTAGAGTACAGCAGTCTCAAAATTGACTCAGTGAAACTTCTTGTTATATATGAACTCTGAAATCTTCTTAAGAATAGGTTGCTTTATATAGTCTTTGACCTAATACTGCTGGGGGTCACCATCTTCCTAAAAATTATTTTTTTTGAGAGGGACACTACTAATCATGGAGCCCAGCATAAAAGATCTGTGCAACGGTTTAATTTACATCCTGTATTTCTTTTAGCATGCTTTATTTACCCAGTGTTATTTTCTTTCATGTTGTCACTCAGTTCTTCCCAAAACACTTGTCCAGTATTTTTCAGTGTTGCATTGTGTGTGAGCATATGTGCATGTTTTCAAAAAAATTACCCAAAATAAAGCTGTTAGTCTGTTGTAATACAGGGCATTTGTACATTATTTCCCCAAAGAATCCTGCTGAGTTTAGAATACCCTCGCATAGGCCAGTGAACAGAGCAGGGATTTGGAAGCTAGAATTTTTCTGGTTTATGCCCAAAATTGCAGCTAACTTTTATGATCATAAAAGTCACTTATCTTCTGTTCCTCTCTTTCCAATCATATTAAATTTAAAAATAGACATAATTTTTTAAATATTCAGTATAAAGCCTAGTAAAGTGAGATCCAGAAGTATACTCATTTGGCTCTCATTTTAGGGGCTGGAGAGTGTGATTAGAAAGTGGGTACTGAAAATACCTGGAGTTGAATTTTATTTTCCATCTCAAAATAACAAGGGATTCCTTCAAGTAGTGGTTCAAATTATATACCTATTTTAAACCAATATACTGGAAGTAATACAGATTCTTAATGTAGATTGATTTGTCTACATTTTGAAGTTCCTTATTACAAATTAAGTAGAAATGAGCTTGTAGTATAACAAATTTTTAAGATATATGTCTGTATGTTTATAGGTAACAAAATGTGAACATTTGTTTTTTTAAAAAAGTAGTATATAACTCTCTCTTCCCTGAGAGCAAATAAGTAGAATTCCTTTTAATTGGGAAAGAAATCTTTTCTTCTCTGTTTTTTGGGATTTTTTTTTTGAGTGGCATTTGAGTGTGAACTAAGGCAGGCAGAGTGCTGAGGGACATCATAATAAAACCAAAAAAATTCCCTCACCGCACACAGACTTAAATGGGTGCAGTTAAAGAGTTCTTCCCCCCCAGCCCAAACTTAGCTTAATTGAGAGTTGGAGGCAAATTGTGTATGTGCTTGAATAGAACTGCTCTTTTTGCATTTGGATGATCTCTATGCTGAGATCGAGCATTGAAGCTTGAGAGCATTTTTGACGTTCTTTTAAACTGTACCACCTTTCAAACAGGTGTTCATTCTAGTCTCTGCAATAAGATTATCTGTAAGAAAGGGAAAAAAACCCCTAGAGTTTAGAATTTTTAATTATATTTGACATAAGGAAACAAACATTTCCTACTTTAAATAAATAAAATAAAAAGGCATCCCACGTCATCCTTCTTGCCTTGTGACTCCCTTGAATGAGTGTGGTTTTGTCGGGTATTTCTCTGTTGGTGTTTGATTCAAAATGTCTCTGGGCCTTTTCCTTTCAACTCTTACCTGAAGCCATTGGGCAGACAGTAAGAATCTCTGCCCTTATTTCTGGTCAGATGTTAGTTTCTTATATTTCAGTATAGAATTCAAATATGATAACGTTAAAACACAAACACATTTTGAACATAAATCAAGACTTCTTTCTGTTTTAATTTTGACTCCTTGAATAATATACAGTTATTAAACTGGCATCAGCCAGTTGGTTGCTTTCATGAGAAAATACATTCTTTTTTTTCCCTTTTCACGTTGCTTTGCGATCATCGGGTATTGCCATGATGCAAATTGTCCTGTCAACAGTAAGTGATATTTTGGGCAGTGGGCTGAAACAGGCAGAGCTAAATAATTTATTCTGTTGAATTCTTCTAGTGAATTTCTTCATGTTTAAGAAACTATATAAGTTGTGATGCAAGGTTCACCAAGCTTATTTTGCCATTTTTCCTTCTAATTTTTTTTTTTTTTCAGAGAGAAACTAAAATTGAAGGAACGGGAAGAAGCATGGGTTAAAATAGAAAATCTAGCCAAATCAAATCCCCAGGTATTTAGAAAAGATTAACGTGTTCATGTTTAAATACTTTAGTTTTGTTAAATAACAGTGGGGGAAACAGGTCTGATGGATCATGGAAATAAAGCAATTTCACTAATTGTATTATGAAAGATATACAATAAAAGTACTTTTAAAATTTGTAACCTTTCTCTTGTGCAAGTAATTATTTTTAAAAAAAAAAGTTTCTGAAAAATATGATATGAAGTACTTTTTCCTTTTCTTATAATAGGAGATATACTGTATTGTCGTTTGAAAAGTTACTGTGCAAAATTATGGAAAATACAGAGATGCCATAATTGGTTTCTCTTGAAAAGCTGTATTGCAAACAATATATAACAAAAGAGATCTTTCTGCAAACTGTGAGTTATGACCGGTCAGTTTTCCTCTGTGTCAAACGGATTAAAATAATATTGTACGTTCTTGTCTGCTGCATTTGTTCTACTCGCATTGGGCCGCTCTGGTGAACCTGCACCTCAGGTTCTTCCTAAAAGGAAAACATCCTGTCAGGCATTCCTTAATGTAACTGAAATTTTGATAAAGAAGCAAAGGTCCTTTTGACTATACGTTATATTTTGAAATTATGGGAGATGGGGATGGTTTGGCTTGGGTGGTCCTCTTCCCCCCCCTCCCCCTTTAATTTGCTTGGAGAATGCTGCCAGTTTTCCTTTATCTCAATCATACTGATTGCTGCTACAGAAGAAAAAAAATAAGCCCAAACATTTCAGTTACTTTGCAGCCAGAATTTTACTATTCTGCAGTAAGAAACTTACTGTACTGTATCCTTCCAGTATCATCTAGCTGACTTTAAAGTGGTGGAAGATGAAGTAAGGGTACTCTATAAACAGAAGTGGGACATTTTATGATCTCATTGCTATTTTAAAGCAGAAAAGATGGGGTCATCTATTTTTTCTAAGGAGGAATTAAATAATTTTTTTTCCTCTTGTGGCATTTTTCAGGGAACAATTACTAAACTGCTCAAATAAAATTTGTTAAACAAAATGTCAGTTGACAACAGATCAGCTAATCAAAAAAGAACCATTCATAAGAAAGCAGTAATTGACTTTCAGTGACAAAGCATTCCTCTAGTCACATAAGGCGTACAAAAGCCTTGCTTGATGAGGACTTCATATATATATATATATATATATATATTTTTATATATATATATATTGTCATTTGCTGTCCCATAGGATGAACTATTGCATGTCTGGCTATATAGGGGGGATTGACTTGCAGTAGTAAAAATTAGAGTTCTACAGTGTAGATTTCCTTTTGTTCCCAAGTAATTTTTTCTAATTCTGTATGTTTTCTGAAACTGGTTAACACAACCTGTATACAGTATGTTCTGTGTCATATGCTTGAAGAGAGCTAATAATTGGAAGCAATTTAAAATAAAAATTATTAATTTGAAAACTGAGTGCTCCACTGAATTGACGTAAGGATATAAATGCTTTTAGCACTCTATATAATAGATTTTTAAGGTGTTGTTTTTTTTTTCCCTTGGAATTTCTGTTAACTTTTTAATTTGACTAATTACTGACAATTTTTGTTGTTCAGAGCTATTCCTGACTGCATAACATACAAATACATTTTAAGATTTTAGATCATTACAATTATATTAATTAAATCCTTGCTGTCAGGTTTTTTTTTCTGTTATGTTTCATCTGCATTAAGTTATTGGTACATTCAGATAGTAAAATATTTATGAGTAAAAATGGATGGAAAAGTGTGTGTGTGTGTTCATAAATGAGTTTTGATTTCAAGACCACATACACCTCATCATACATTAAAATATAATTTAAAATATTGAAATTACTGTACAGTAATCTTTTAGATACTGTACAAGTGTTTTTACAAGATTTTTTTTTACTATTATTCCCAAAAGAGTTTTATGGCTGTTTGATTTTCTCAAGATGGAAAAGTTTAATATTTTGTTTTGAAATTATTTTAAATTCTGTTAACCGTATTTGGCCTTTTAACTGTGTATTTTCCAACCCAAAATTGCCCCAGAAAGTAAAATCAATAAGGTTTCAGATAAATGATTGCCAAAGTAGACATTCAATTGTGGCAAAATCTGAATTTTAAAAAATTCAGTCTCAGATAATCAAAGCATATTTTTTGTATTCTGACCGTATTTTTCAACAGAAAGTTTCTGCCAAGTGAAAGTATTGGAGCTTCATTTTAAAATGTATTACTTGCTGCCTGAAAGCATGAGATACCGAGGCTAATCTCAAATAACTAATATCATTCAAATGCTCAAATACACTCTTAGTATTTTGGTATTACGACTAAGAATGATTGTTTTAACACTTTGCATTTTATTAGTACCCAACATATAGTGACACGAGTTTGCTGAACAGTCCTGTTGCAATGGAAACAGATGGGCCTTTACTTGAAGATTTGCAGATGCTGAAAAAGACAGTGAAAGAAGAGGCTTGTCAGGTAAAGCCATGGGAAGATAACTGAGTACTCTAAGTTTATGAATTTTTTTGAAATATGTTTTTTTTAAGTGACTGTTAATCATAGATATAAACTTGGGTTATATTTTCAGACCTGCAATAATTTATCCTAGAGTAGCAAACTTTATTAGAGCTGCTGCTTTTAAGTGATACTGTAGCAGCCAGGAATACAGTATTCTATTTCTAATGCCTGGGAATCTGCTGCATGGTCTCTTTTGACATTTCTTCTACACAAACTTTAATTTCTTTTCATTTAAAAATAACTTTGTGTGTCATGATGGGAAGATGGATCGTGCCTTAAAGATAGTTAAAAATATGGGTAAAATCTACCACATTGTGTTCTCTTCTCTATGAACAGTTTGGTTTTTCATAAGGAAAGCTTGTATAAAATATACTCAGATTCTGTAATGACATTTGTATTTTTTTGTTATTCAGAGTCGTCTTAGTGGGTAAAGCTACTATGTTTTGAAAAAAATGTGTAAAGTGTGCATTTGTTTTGCACACTCATGAGTCTTCTTCCTCAGTCCACCATCTTTTGTGTTCTGTTACCATTGCAGTACCACTAAGACATCTGGTAGGAATGTCATTAATATGAATATCTCTAAATCCAGCAAAGTTTAAGACCAGAGAAATGATCTGGAGCTGGAAAAACTGGTTGAGATCAGAGATAATGTCTGTTAATTTGAATTAATATATCAAACAAGAAACTTAATAAAAATAAGCATATGGTCAACACAACATTTTACATCACTTTCTAAAATTCCAGTGTCATTATCCTGCAAGATTTTATTTTAGATTATATTTTAGTTATTATTTGTACTATGGCATTTTGGATGAAGGTCGAAATCTAAAGAAATGCTGGAATGCCTACAAGACATGCTCAATGATGGCTTTTTTTTTTTTTCTTTTTTTTAAAAAACAACGCTTGTCTCTAGATTGGAACCCTGTGCATTACATGTAAATCTTGGTGGCTGAATTACGTGCCCATCCAGGGCAATGAATGAGGGCAGCATTCCCCTGAATGGGAATGCTGGTTAGAGCTAGCCAGTGGGGAGCACTGGGCTTATTAAAGTTTCTAAACCTCTGCCTTTCTCAGACCTTGGATAGTTTAGCCAGGCCACGTGACGGCGAGAGGGCCCTCCTTTCACTAGATCCAGAGCCTAGAACCAGTTCTACAGGAGAGAGGTACATAGAGGATTGTTGAAAAACCACAAGTACTGCTTCATCTTAAGAGTTGTGTTGATGGTAGTGTTCATCTTTTATTATGCTATTTCCATAACCATTTTCTCAAGATTTATGAGACCTTGGTTCACTTTCTCTCTTGATCAGAGGGAATTATAACTCATACTTCCTTAGCTCTGAATTCTCTGACATTAGTTCTAGAAGAAAAGTGGCCAGTTTGACTATATACTACTAGTTGGTCAAGGAGTTAAGAACATAGTTCCCAGTCCCAGCTGCTGGAAATGTTTGGGGATTTCAGCCAGTATTATACAATATAAAATGTGCAGAAAGTAATGACAACCCAAAATAAAACCAAGGACCCTACATAGGTCTTACCTTCTTTTCTATAAAGAGTTTAGCTTCAAGGGCTATGGTGTAGGGGCTATATACAGCTTCATTTGATAGAGTTCCAGCTGGAAAATGAGTGCGTTGCACTCATGGATGAACTCGATTTCCCCCTCCCCGCCCCAATTGTTAGAAGGGGTGGGGATTAAAATGTGATGCTAATGGAAAAGAAACAAATTGTAAACTAAATAAAATTCTGAAAATTGGGTTGCATTCTTTAGCCATCTCTCCAAGTGAATGCCTTCCTGCTTTTCCTTGATTAGAAAGTGTGCAAGAAGCAAATGAGATGACTAGAAGGTTATAAGCCTGTTTTTCAAAGATCTTAACTGAGCTAATAGAACAGTTTGAAACAGGAATTCTTATTATTAGAAAAACTTGCAAAAGTCTGTGAAAAGTGTAAAGCTTGCAAGAGGATTGATAAGTCTGGGTCACCGGGCAGAAGAAGGATTAACTAAGGATTAGAGTATTGCAGGAAGCAAGCAGGGTGGAGAGGACGATGGAAAGATGGTTATGTGTCCCTTGCTAATTACCATCAGAAATTGATGCTAAAACAAGGTGTTACAGTTACCAGTTTAAAAGAGGGATTAAAAAAAAGCCAATGAGAAGGACTGACTAAATAACTTAGTTATTTTTGAAATAAAACTTAAGAAGTGAGGAACTAATGTAAAGTTCTATACAGTTTTGGTGAAATTAAGGTTTTTGCCAGAGGTTAGTGGTGTAGAAGAGTGTCCATTCTGAAGAGGTGATGGAATGACTGCGGAAAGTAGACCAGGAATTTTTTTCTGCACCAGACTATGTTTTCAGTGAATACTCTTTGCTACAATAAAATTTAAGCACCGTGATTTATTAGCTTTTTGAACGTGCCAGTAAATCAATGGCTAAGTAAAAACCAATCAGCTTTTATAAGGGCTTTTTTAATAGAACATGAATAAACATCATTGGTCTAACAAGCAAATTAGGGTAGATGAGACAGACACAGGGGCTATCTAAAGACGCCATTATATAGTTTGCAGATACTCTGATAGAAATACTGTCTGGTTTTAAGAGAGCATCAGTAAAATAATACAGCAGAACAGAACCTTAAATTTTCAGATATGTGAATAGTGCAAGTAATGAGAAGTATGGAAAAAACTTAAAATCACTTGTCTTACATACAGAGACTTAAAAAATGAAAAACAATTGAGAAGATAGAGGATAATTTTAGTTTTTGAAACCGTTACCAAGTGATAATTGTGGTTGTAATGTCATGGTTGCTAATAGCTTGGAATTTGTTAGTTGTTTCTGATTTTCCTTCTTAGCAAAAAGACTTGAAACTGGATAGCTGGTGGGGTAAAGAGGGGAAAGAATAAACTTTTTCATTTCTTTTCCCGTAAGTCAACATACTGATGTGCACGAAATATTAAGTAGTTGTTTAGTAATTGATATTTTTAGCCCACTTTGTTCTATTTTTATTTCAGGCACAGAAAGATCAGAAAAAAGATCGTCCTCTTGTGCGACGCAAGTCAGAACTGCCTCAGGATATCTATACCATGAAAGCCTTGGAATCACATTGCAGAGCTGATGAATTAATATCACATGATGGGCATTAAACTATTACAGTGAAATACTATTTTGGAGGAATTTTTTTCTTTTCTGGACTCAGTTCTACAGTAGAACTTACTTTTTTGTGCCATACCAATCAGTTACACACAAAGTCAAAGCTTTCTTCAACCCAGTTCTGTAGGCAATAACTTAATAGAGTATGCAGCTCAAGATTAGTAGTTCAAACAATGGTAATTAATTACCCAATTCCATATGCAGAATATTGGGTTGACTATATCAAGTGGACACAATTTCCTGGAGGTGTTATCATAGTACCAGCTACCTGATAACATGCAGTTTTTATAGTCATATTTGAGAAGAGCATTCTATAAACTCTTTCTGTCTAAATAAGTGAATGACCAATAGTTGGTACTAATGATAAACATGTGTTTTCAAAAGTAAAATAATTTCAAATTTAAGTATTAAACTTTTTCTAGGATTTCTCAACTTTACAGTTGTTTCCACATTATTGCTGTCTTGTAATATACCAGCAGTTTTGAAAATACACAATTATTCTTTCGTATTATAAAACATGGCTTACAAACTGGTAACTTCCATGACAATCCTCAATCATCATTCCTTTCTAAGAATTCTGTAAATTTATTTCTCCTTTACTTAGGGTAAAGATCTATATCTATATATACCATGTCCTAATACTTTATGTATATTTAAAGCCATATTTTCCAGTCTTTAGTGTATACTATGGCACCAGTATTCCAGACATGAACTGGTAGAAGAATTTTTCCTAAAATGAAGATTTGTTTACTATGACTGGGAATAGACTGAATATAAAATTTCATTTTAAGTTTTTTTCAAGTCAATAAAATACTCTTTCACTGTTTTCTCCCTTATCTGAGCTTTTAATACTCAGCATTTTTCTTGGGCTCTAGGAGTTCAGTATTCTGTGGCAGATATTATGCGTGATTTCAGTTGCATCAGTTTTTATCTGGAAGGTGAACATAACCTTTCAGGATACAAAAGATCACAAGCTTATTAAAATACGAAAAAGAACAGATCCTTGAATTCCATTCTGCTTCTTTTTAATGAGTCTAAGAGCTGAGGAGATAGTGACCATGATTTTACCGTGAAAATATTTTTTGTTGTTGTTGTAAAGAGCACATGTGCTGCAAATACACCTCACAAGTGAACTGAAAATGCATCTGAGTTGCTGATGATCTTCAAATGCTGCTATATATTCCACAAGATTACTTGCATGTAATGAGCTTTTTGTTGTAGATGGAAAAGCACGGGAGGAAAATCTCTTTAAAAATATAGTGCTTTGTCTTCAATATTTGATTTCTCTCAGGGTGGCCAGTATTTTGACTTACTTATCCTGCTTACAAGCTGTTTGAAATGTGTTCTGCTATTCTAAATGGGTGATTAGTTTCTTTTGTCTCTGGCAGTAACATAATATAACTTAATGTTTAATGTCTTGATGCATAAAGAGATAAAAACGTGGCTTCTTTAAAAAATAGTTTTGTTTTACTTTTTAAGGAAGTATAACGTCTCCTGCATCCATTAATAAGAAAAAAAAAATTACGCAAAGCAGACATTCATAGTAATAACCTTGTGCAGATGTAGTGCCTGCTGTTTGTTGGTTGCATTTAACATTCAATTTCCAATATTTGTTACGTTGTCTATTGGAAGAAAGTTGTGGGTGGTAAATATTGGCTTACAACAAATCAATTTAAAGACCAACCCAACCTTTAAGTGGAATGTCCACTGTGTCTGAAAAAACAATTTCCTGTAAAACTTGAAAAAGAATATGCTTTACCATTAGGATGAACTATATTAAAACAGTTTAAAGATGCCTTCTCCTTTTGAGGGAAAAAGGGTGCTTTTTTAATTGTGTAAAGCAATGTCTATGTATTTTGATATACCATTGTTTGAACTTCCATCTTTAGCTGGTAGATTATCAGTTACCTTTGATTTTGGGTGTTCAGTATGTTTGTGCAAGAGGTTGCTGAAAGGAATTATTCTTATGTTACCCAAGGGAAAAGAAAAAAAAAAACTGTATATCAATGTTTGATTGATTGTGTGATGCTCAACGTATAAGAACATCTTTCACTGTCTAGATTTTATTTCTGTGCTTTATTGAAGATAAACACTCACCAAAAAGGGAAATATTATGGTATTTTTAAAGGCTTAAAGTTCACCATAAATTCATATTTGAAGTTTTGGGCCACTGAACATTTGCTTAGTCAATATTCCAAAATCTATCTTCACTAATGGTTTAGCATGTTTATTATCAATATTTATATACTTCTGGTAATCCTATACTAAACCATTCTAAAACTAATACATCCAAAATAAAAGGAAAAATTAAAGTATAATTTTGGTGACTGTTGTTCTTCATAAAGTTCTATGTCTGACACCTTCCCCTGTTTTCCAAAATTACGCCTGTACATCAGGAATGTCAAAAGTAATATTACAAGTGTCTTTTTAGTGTGGCTTTAGTATGGCTTCATTTTAATATTGTACATACATTGTACCTTGTTTTATGGTAATAAGTAATAAAAATGTAGACTTCATATTTTGTACAGAATCGTCCTATGTACAGAATAAAAAGTTCCTAGAAACAGCAAAAGTAGGTAAGTGGCACAATTATTTTTCATTAGACAATATCTGTAACATTATGCGTTAGTGGAATATTAAGTTCAAATGTACCTACATATTTTTTAACATTTTGTAATTCAATTTTTTGTTCTGGCATTGTTTCTGAAGAGCTTCACACACCTGCCATTTAATATGCTTTTATCTTTTAAAACTTTAAAAAAAAAAAAAGGTGTATTATATGGACAAATAAAGACCATGTGAATTTTACTTGCTCATCATGAAACTAAATTTAGCACAGGGCATTTGGGGGTGTGTTCAGATTATCATTGTTTGCAGAATCAGCTGTATAAAATAATTTCATAAATTTCACAAAAGCAAAAAAAAAATTATGGAGAGGCCATTAGTGAAAAAAAAAAAGCGGAATAATGGATATTCAGTAAAAAAACAGACTTAACTTTTAGAATAACTGTCAGCGCTGAAAGAAATTTGATAAATGAGCAGTCTACGAATATGAAAGATGCATCTTTCATACCATAGTATTTTTCCCCTGTAACTCTTCTGTATTGACAGGCTTCAAGTGAAGTAGCCATAAAATGAGGGATTATAGTGTGGTAGGAGATACGTGGGCAGGTGACAAGGATGTAGGAAAAGACTTCAGCCTGCGCTGGGAATTGTCTTCCCTCAGGAATCCATAAAAGTCCTCAAAGGAACTAAGGAACTCAGGTAAAGCTGACTTTCAGTAAGGGATGGGTTTTTGGGGCAAGAGGGGGTTATAAGGCTGGGATCAGCATCTGACTGCTGCCTTGAGTTACAAATGGAAGAGATTTGGGTTACAAATGAAGCCTTTGCCTACAGAAGGAAATGGTTTTCTGCAGGGGCTGAAAAACAAACTCATCACGCGCACTCTTGAGCCTAATTGGCAATCAGAAACTGGGTATTGAAACAACTTGGGATTCAGCCGTTTGGGTTTCAAAATTAGGGTCAAATACCTCTCAAAATGTAATGTTATAAAATACCAACAGTAGTGGCATTTTTTTTCCACAAAAATTCTTGTTGAGTTGCACATGTGTTCAGGAAGTCAACTTAATCCTTTCTCTTTAAGAGAATGAAGCTCAGGGCTTTGACTAACAACCTTTTTTGGCTTTGTTTGCTTGGTTTGGTTTTTCAGAAGTGAAAAGGCAGGTGCTGGTGTAGCACAAGTGGGTTTGGGTTTAGGAGTTTGCTTTATGGAAGCTATTTTAGTACCTCAAGCCTGGGATCAGCATCTGACTGCTGATTTGAGTTACAAATGGAAGATATTTGGGTTACAAGTGAAGCCTTTGCCTACAGAAGGAAATGGTTTTCTGCAGGGGCTGAAAAACAAACTCATCACACGCACTCTTGAGCCTAATTGGCAATCAGAAACTGGGTATTGAAACAATTTGGGATTCAGCCATTCGGGTTTCAAAATTAGGGTCAAATACCTCTCAAAATGTAATGTTATAAAATACCAACAGTAGTGGCATTTTTTTTCCACAAAAATTCTTGTTGAGTTGCACATGTGTTCAGGAAGTCAATTTAATCCTTTCTCTCTAAGGGAATGAAGCTCAGGGCTTTGACCGACAACCTTTTTTGGCCTTGTTTGCTTGGTTTGGTTTGTCAGAAGTGAAAAGGCAGGTGCTGGTGTAGCACAAGTGGGTTTGGGTTTGGGAGTTTGCTTTATGGAAGCTATTTTAGTACCTGCACAAGTGGGTTTGGGTTTAGGAGTTTGCTTTATGGAAGCTATTTTAGTACCTAACAGATGTACTTACAGGAGATTGCTACGACTCTGGGTTGTCCAGAGTATTGTTCTGGATCCTGTTATGGGCCACCTGCCTACAATTGGAGCATTTCTGCTCCTTGGATCTTGTCCTTATTTTGCGTAATGATTGTGGAGACACTGACTGCATTATAGCTAATTAAGAAATGCTGTTCTAATTACCATATCGCTGTCTCCCTGGATAAAAATTCTTGTTGAGTTGCACATGTGTTCAGGAAGTCAATTTAATCCTTTCTCTCTAAGGGAATGAAGCTCAGGGCTTTGACCGACAACCTTTTTTGGCCTTGTTTGCTTGGTTTGGTTTGTCAGAAGTGAAAAGGCAGGTGCTGGTGTAGCACAAGTGGGTTTGGGTTTGGGAGTTTGCTTTATGGAAGCTATTTTAGTACCTAACAGATGTACTTACAGGAGATTGCTACGACTCTGGGTTGTCCAGAGTATTGTTCTGGATCCTGTTATGGGCCACCTGCCTACAATTGGAGCATTTCTGCTCCTTGGATCTTGTCCTTATTTTGCGTAATGATTGTGGAGACACTGACTGCATTATAGCTAATTAAGAAATGCCGTTCTAATTACCATTTTGCTGTCTCCCTGGATTATATTTTCTTTTATATGATGAGACTTGGCCTGAACTGTCTTTACCTCCTGAAATAAAACTTTGATGTAGTTAAAAATTT